ACTTCTTTTTTTCGAAAATAATTTTTCTGATAATGAAATTTTGAAGGGAAGAAAATCGGTCAGATTTTTCCCTCAAAATTTCGAAAAATCACGTTCCAAAAAACGAACTAAAGTCAGGTCTAATGTATAGTTTCGCTAACCACACAACAAATCTTTAAATTTCCAACCATTTGCATGGCCATAGATGGCCAAATTCGAGTTATCTGGAATGCCCAAAATTTGACCTTCACGCGCAAATGCCTGGAAGTTTTCACAATTTTTATTGCAGAAATTCCGAAACAGCAGGTCACAATCTCTATTGTGGTTCGCCGCCTAGCTTAAGGCTGTATGTATCCAGCCACCAAATTATTCGCCTGTGTACTCATTGTAGGCTGAAAACGAAAGCTAGAAAGTCAAAGAAGCGATTTTTTAGAAGTCTGAACATATAAGGTTATAACTGTCATTTATGGCAATAGAAAATCTTGACTATTTGATATTTAAGAGTGGAGGCTTGAGGCTATCTTCTCACGAAAAAATCTTAGCTGAATAGCTGTTACGTGAACTGTTATGAAGCTTTGAATTTGCATGTCAAAACGAATTTATTTATTAGCCAACCTAATATTTTGCGCGATCTTCTTTGGTCAGGTTCAGCGCTTTCTCGCGCTTACAAGACCGCCTTGGCTGTTCTAAAGATGTGCCTACCACTAGCCTTTTAGTGCTGCTGGGGTGCAAAACAGTAATCTACAATAATGATTCTGTGGGTTCGCAATACCACATTGTTTTGGAGCCATTGAATACTGAGACAATCTGCCGAAGCTTCCGCAGGACAATCAAAATTTTCAGCGGTTCCGCAGGGTTTTGTTTGCTATTGTAAAAGTGGAAACGTTGGAAATGGGAACTTCGGCAGGATTTTCACTCCAGACTGGTTGGAAACGGGAACTTCCGCGGGCTTCTTACAAAGCTTTGCGGAACTTTCGAGAATGCCAGCAGTCCCGCAGCACTCTGACATGCCAGTACTTCCGCAGGGTTTTGAATGTATTGTCCGTACGATGTTGTCTCGCCAACAACTAGAGTGCATTGACGAACATGTCATTCGTAGTGCAGAGGGTAGTAGGTGAGTCTCGCAGTCAATGAGTAAGGTTCAAATCTCTCTCAGGTGTTTTCGTTTGCTGTTGTTGTTCGCATTCTTCGGAACTTCCGGAGTACCTCACTTGGAAACTTCAGTAGAACTTTCGCAGAATTTCTGCAGGTGACCCGGCGGAGCTTTCCTAAACTTTCTGCGGAAGTCCTGGTCAGTTGTCTGAGTACCTGTACCTGCACATTAAAGGCAGTGTCCAAGCAAATCTGGGCACATGGGGTTTTCGCCTGGAAACTGATGAGAGGGTCCTAACTAATGCACTGCCCAAGCGGCAGCGCAAATAATTCATTCGCAGCTGAGAAACCGGTCCCCTCGCGCCTGCGCCGTGACCGTAACCCGGAAATGACTTCGCTCTTTAACAGTACGTTCGCGCTGGGACCCGTCCTAAGTCATTCGCGAATTGCGGTCACGACGTCGGCGCGGAGTGTTCTTAAAAGGGTTTCTCAGCCATGAATGCATGATTTGCGCTGCCGTTTGGGCATGCCTTAGTTAGAATCCCGTCATCAGTTTCCAGGCAAAAAACCCATGTGCCCAGATTTGGCTGGACGCTGCCTTTAAGAATGGCTAACCAATTGTCGTGGTGTCTCCCGAGTGAGCCTTATATTTGGAGATTGGCTATTGAGAAAATTAGAGCAGATGTCCATTTTTTATTGCGTATTATAATACATACAATGCAGCAATCGTCTATGTAGCGGCAGTACAGCAGCAGCCTTCGCGCAGATGCAGGACTTTTAACTTTTGACGTGAGGGCTATGGGCTACAGTATGTGTCAAAAGCTGCACCATTGCTAATCCCTCTTACTCGCTGATAATACGGCCCTGGCCACTCAAAACTGTTACAGCTCAGGTATTCCGCCAGATCATGATCTGCCCGGTGTTAAGCCCGTGCATGTGGAAACTCAGTTTTTTCACGTCTTTGTTATCGCTCAGCCCCTCTGCATGGAGCCGCGTTCTATCTTGCCGCCTAATAGGTGTCTGAAAGAATAGCACGAATGTTAGTGATTTTTCTAGGATTTGAGAAACGACGACGTTGGAACGCCAGGCGTAATAAGGTTATTGACAATCTTGGTGACAAGCAGAAGAAGACATAGTATTTATCAACTTCATGGCAAGATTCATAAACAACAGAGTTTGCGGATTTATTTTAAACCGATTTATTTGCGAGGAGGATTACACAAGAGTTTAGTACTTAGGGTTTTAGGGCTTAGAGTAAGGAGATTCTCGAGTCGCTTACTACAAAGAACTTATTTTCATGTCGAAAAACATCAATTACTTTATGAAATACCCTTTGCTGTTTTGCAACTGAGGAGCGGATAAAAGTGCAGCTATCAATTGAAGGAAATCTTGTGAAACAAAGTGGAGATGACCTCGCGAGTGTTTCAAAAACATAGCGTGACCATGCTATTTGTGGTTGTATCGGTATACTTGTGTCGCATAGCCTCGTTACTGATGCGCGTCGAGAACGAAAACTAAGTGATGAGAGAGTGCGTTGCCCTCTCAAGAAGACCTCTAGCGCGTCAGAAACTAGCTTGAAAGGGAGTTTTTCCATGGGTGCGGAGTTGATTCACAGCTTTTTTACAGCACCATCATCTCACCGGATTCATTTGATCGCTGAATGAATGAAAATCGCTAGTTGTTGCAGCGCATATGCTGCGGCTGTCGGTGATCTTGATTTCTCATCGTTATTACTCCCTGCTTCCAAGTTCTGCTATTCCATCCGCCGCTCTACTTTAGCATTCTCAGAGCATTTCTGGCAGTAAACCATGTGCGGAACCGTATTCGACGAGAGCGCGATGCAAAACCTGTCTCTACCTTGGCTGGCAAAACTAGTTGATGGCGCATAGATTTAGCCATGGCTTGTCCTCATAGCTAACATGATGTGTTCTCTGCGCTGTTTTACACTATTCTTTTTGATATTTTTTTGCTTATTGCGCTAATCGCGTTCAACTCAATGCTAAAGACTCTTCTTTTTATTGGAGGAGCACCTTTCTCTGAGAAATTTTAGCAAATACGTGTATGATATCTAGTCATCCTTCTCCCTCTAGTCGTATAACAATTTATCTTGTTGTCCGAAGAAGTTGGCTAAATTATACCATCAAGTTTCTATCTAGCAGTAAATCCCTTGCTTACAGTAGAGACAGTGTCTTGAACGTAAGAGATGAGTTTCGCTGCAGTGTATAACCAAATACACCAACCAACAGTTAATTAATCGTTGTTATAGCATTGTTAACATACCGCTGGCTTAAGCCTTTTTTCCAACACTGGCGACAGATGAACCGCGTTAGTAAAAATGATCGTGGATCCCATAGAATCCTATCGACTCTTGTCTCGCAACAAAATAGGCAGAAATTCAAGTGCTCTTAATGTCAACGTGCGAATGAATGTGTTCAAAGGTGCCTTCTCCGCACTTCCTTCAAGACCTCATCCATTATCTGTTTTGTTGTAATATGTTGTACAAAGTGCATTTTTGACATACTTTCGCTATTTGTTTACGAGAATCTTCGCAAGTATCTGGTAAAATTAGCAAACGTGGAGCACAGAGAATGTAATTTTTCAAGTATCCATACATTGTCGTTCTTCAAGTCTATCATATTTCTAAGTGATTCTATGGCATATGCATACAGTGAGCCCTACATAAAAAGCTTTTTGATAATATCTTGCATTCCAAACTTTTTTTTACAACTATCATTGAACTAATATATATGTTATGATTCGGGAAAGGTGTCCGTACCTTTGATAGCACTATTGAAGCTTGACACACGTGAATATCGGATTAGCCCAACATCCATTTTCAAAATTCCGGCACAAATTATCTTAGGCCGCTGCTGTCAGGTCAAGTTTTTAAGGTATCATGACCAAATCTAACGCTTTTCGAAAAAGGCAGTGTAAAGCGCTGAAAATTCGAGGATGTGGCTTTGAAGGTTTGGAGGGAAAGAATAGGATGTGGAAGATGCCAGGAATGGTGTGATCAAAGGTTGCTAATTTCCGCCTGTGTGTTTTTGACTAAAAAATCGCAGAAACTTCGTAAATCAATGTCCGGGACACTATGAGCGCGTGAAAGCAGAGCTTTCATGAGAAGCTATCCAATTTTTAACACGAATGGGAATTTTATTCTACCCTAAAATCCCGCCAATAAGTCCGACCTTATCTGCATCTTTTGACACGAAAAATTGATAAAAAATTGCCCTCTGCGCTGCCAGAAGTCTAGCAGATGAATTCTCCCATCAGACGGCAGCAGATCTGCTAGACTTCCGGCAACGCAGAAGGCGATTTTTTTATCAATTTTTTGTGTCAAAAAATAGATAAGGTCGGACTTACTGGCGGGATTTTAGGGTAATCCCAAACTCAAATGGACATTGGCGTTCAGCCACCATCAAGAGTACATCAGTTCCCGATGTCTACAAAAAATGAAAAGAGTATGAGCTATAAGGCCTCGGATATGCCTCACGGGATTTCTCCAAAATCGGCGATACGCGATTTGGCAATTTGCCAGAGGTCTGCAGATCTATGTGTGAAATTCAAGCGTGCGCATAGCTTTTGTAATCTTATGCTTACATGCCAAATCCTGCTTATGCGTCTACGAAAGATTATGAACAATTGTAGCAATTAAAAAATTACGGCGACGAGGTATGACAGATCCCTAAGACACACAAAAACTTCAAGATACGTGGTACTCTGAATATAGCGGTTATTGCAGTACAGAGAAGAGGATGAGTTGAATCGGCCGTTGAAATCAAACATGATGAAAATAATTAGAGCCTTCCTGAATTTTAGTTTTTGAATGATGTTTTTCTCTTTCTTCACGTAGCCGCCGCATTTCAAAAAATTTTCGCGCATTCTTCATTTCTATTGCTTGCAAGATCGAGCCAGACGTATAGCTTTAGATGTTACTACGTACAGCTCTGTTAGCGCTGCTATATTCACCGGCTATTTACTCAAAAGATGACGATTCGACTGTGCCAGCGGTTCGAGTTGTCCGCCTACAAATTGAGTACCCAAATGCCACTATCGCGGACATTCAAAAGATTCAAAAGTAAGTGATTCAGGTAATCTTAACTTCATATCCCGCAGAGATATCTTTGAGATGGAATCCCATCATGCGAAACAGCGTAATCGCCTCATTACGTTTTATAAACAAGCATTGGTTGATCTGTGGCAGTGGACCAAATGGGGAAAGGTGGGTTTGCGTTTTTAGTGCATTTCAAACCAGCTACACTTCTGTGTAGGCCTGCGAATGACTGTGGCAAAGCACAAGTGACTGGTGAAGTGCTGGGAGACAACCACTACAGAATCAACGCCACTTTTATCTCAGAAAGGTAGTACCATCAAGATGCATTCATGGTACATAGCTGACATGCATAGTTACAGAGATCCCATAAAAAATGTAAAGGTTGAAGCCACATCAACTGTAATGGCCGTTTCACAGATTGGTCTGAAAGGAGGAATCTTTCAGTACACGAATGCGTTGAAGGTAATTGCTGTATTACCAGATAACCGATTTTCGCACACTTTGATCACTGGAAACATGCTCAGTAAAAAGAATCATTCAACTTCAACCAGCTCTGAGCGTAAGAATGCTGCCCAAGCATGTTTGCCTTCTTCAGTGATTGAATACGAGGAGCAAGTAGGCGAGAGAACTGCGCCATTGCTCTCATCGACCATTGTTAAGCTTTGTGCTTGATGGTCCAAGAGGGTAGTGTGAAATTGCCTGTTATGATTTGAGGACCAAAAAATTACTGGTAGGCTGATTGTCACAAAGGGAGTGCCCGGAAAAGGATGGGTTCGTAGGACTGTAGGAATTTGACCGCAAACTTATTTTGAACTCAAACAGGAGACACGGCTCCTTCAGTTTGAGAGGCAGTGGCTAGACTTATTCTGCTATACTTGTTATTTTTATACTTGCATCGTTTCCTTGAACGGGGTTTGCTAATCTTGTTTGTCTTCTCTACACTTCGCGATATACACCTTGATCTCCATCTATGTATCTCGAGTTTGCTTGCCTCTCTCGAGTTCTCTTGAATCCGTCTTAGCTTTGGTAGTCCGAACTTACTTCAACTCTGGAGTCCCTTTTGTTCTTTTTCTGGGACATCCGCAGACATTGCTAATCTAGCAACGTAATCTTCCTCACTTCTTTCCACAAGCTCCTACCTTCGAACTCTCTTGCATCTTCCCAACGACAAGGCAATTTCCATGGTGGCTTGGATGGTTTCGTTGGTGGCATTCATGGTGACGTCTGTTATCCATCTCGGCATATCTTTTTATTCTATCATCTTATTCTTCGTTCCTCTCGCGTACATGGTCAACATTCGCTGCCATATACGGCAGTTGGGCGGACCTACTGTACGGTGTAATTGGAGCTTTCAGCTTAATTGGCATTTGCTTATCGCCCATTTTATGAGGCTTCCCTACTTCGCCAAGCTGCTTTATCCTGATTCATCTTGAAGGGGACTATATGGAAAGTTGCAGATCAGGTACTTAAAACTGATGATTTCTTGGGAAATATTCTGATCTGTATAGTTATAGACCTAGGAGGTCTCAGCTTCATGTAGGTCTTCGCAGAATCTTACTGATTTCCTTGCTGATTAGACCTTATAGCAAAATATGGAAAGTCTTCCATCTGCATATCTTTGGTCAATACTTCTGCTTCTCGCCATCACGATCACTTTGCCTGCACACATCAGGGCTGGTATTCGAAGTTCTTGACTATCGTGCCAATGATTATGAGAAGAGAAAGGTCGTCTGATAACTGACAAATGACATTTGGAATTTGACAATTTGACAAACGCCGGCAATCATCTGGAAGCTCTCTGATCATCCTGCCGCTGTCTGTACGTGTCGTGTAGCCCAACACCATAGCAGCACCCATCATTTCAAACCCGCATTCTCCCTTTTTGTGACCTCTTGCTACACGAGTTCGAAAAGGTAAGAGCGACTTGGCATTGCAGTAGGCAGAGCGATCAATGTCGTTGAAGTATCTAAACCAGCCTTTCTCCATGACAAAAGCTTGAACATCCAGTCCCAATAAGTTGCACCATTTGTGCAGAGTGCGTGTGGGGAAGGCTGAATTAAGCTAAAGTGCCTCACGGTGGATCGAAATGTCGAAAATCTGATAATCATGATGGATGCCGGATTTATAACACTTCTAGGTGCATCGAAGCCCGATTTTGGATTTTTCAGTTCAGACCACCCCCGTTGATGGGCGGGGCCACTCGATTAGCTTTTACCTTCTGGAGCGTTTTTCTCGCTTCGGAACTCATCTTTCGCAAAGGAAAAGCGATTATCTAGCCAAGTTCCACGCTGTTATATAACACCAATCTCATCAACCTCAATTTGTGGACCGCGCCTTTGACTATGTCGCTTCTGGTCCTTTAAGCTCCATTCCACACACCTATTGCATATAATCGGAAAGTGGATTGGCGCATTTGTTCCAATAAATCATTCGCGGTAATAGAAACGCAAAAGAATCCTTGACTTGAGGTGAATAAAAATGTCTTTTTGATAGTTCCTGCCCCAATCTGCAAACAAATCATCTACATACCTTGCACATTTTTACAGGCACTCGGCAAGCCGTCAAATGAACTCGGGTTTGACGAAGCGTACTTCTGCTACAAGGGCGCGGTGCTGGTGGACGGCGATAAATGCCGTAAGGAGCTACGAATGCTACGTGACGAACCTATTCGAGAACGTGAACCAATCGAGATCGATCGATTAATTGCCCTCTGATGACACCGTTAATGCATTTCGGGAGATGGACGAAGCACTAATAACCCCATTACTTGAAGTTCCAACTGTAAACACTTTTGTATAAGTTTGAGCATGCACATAATAAGTATCCGTCTTTGCAGATGTCTTCTTCTTCACATTCTCAATTTTAATGTCATCACTTGTTTGTCAATAACAAATGTTTCATTGTTGAACGTGATTGGTGCCTTGAAAATTTTGTGTAGTTTGTGTGGTGCGTGCATGGAGAAAATCGGCGCGAGTTAACAGTTCACTGGAAAATCTTTGTTACGCGGAGTGAGGGTCTTACGATACAGAAGATCACAAGAAATTTGAGAATATTCTCTCTCCTCTCTCTGTCAGCATATTTCGTTGGACTTTTACAGATTCACGTAACATCCGCAGGCACTTAACACCCAAATTCTTACCATCAAGTGATGCACGGTGCAGTGTTCTTGATTGCGTGTCATTCCATCTAGTTTTGTAGACAAAATGGAAGTAGCTTAGAAATTCTGTGAAGGTTCGCGAGTATCAGAGCAGCTGACTAGGCATCCGCATGCAGAGAATCGTATAGACACCCGTCGACATTAAGACACTTGTGCAACATACATGGTGTTTCAAAAAGACGATCGAACTTTTGATCCTTAATATCTCTCTTGTCATGAAGTCTTTGAAGAAGTTTCAGCTCCCATTTTGTAGAATTGCTTCTCCCAAGGAGAGGATGCTTAGCTCAAAGCATCAATCCAGATGAGACATATATTGTATTAAAGCGCTTAAAACTCTAATTCCAAATCTGTATTTTATAGTAGCGGAGCGGTTTTGTGGAAGGAGTTATGAGGGGCGTTTCCCTCTGAGGCTGAGGCGCCCTCCAGCAGGTCTCTCCTTACCTACTAGCACTGTAGAGGAGTACCGACTGGTGGCAACTGGCCTGATGGTAAGTAATTTGAATGAAGATTACAATAAGGATACGCTCCTAAGTTCGATTAGCATCAATATCATCAGAAATTTCATGTTTCAGAGCTCCAAAGCCATTTAGAAGCTCAATTTCGCAAAAATTGCGATAAAGTTGCATGCGAAGGGGATAGAAACCTTGACACTTTCCTTATCAAGCAAGTCACTTACCACCAGGGCAGTTGTTACCACTTGATACTGCTCTACAGTGCTCATAGATAAGGGGAGACCTGCTGAAGGGCCCTCAGCCCTAAAGGGAAATGCCCCTCATACCTCCTTCTACAAAACCGCTCCGCTGCTAAAAACTACAGAGTTGGAATCGGCGTTTCAAGCGCTTTAAGATGATATATGCCTCATCCGGATTGGTGCTTTCGACTAAGTATTTTCTCCCTGTTAGATTTACAGTATCTCAGACAATCGCCGGGGGCAGGCGGGCACCGAAAAAATAGTTTGCTGATCTCTCGCACCCTGCTCGCGGATTTTTTGCAAAGCAATCAGGACTTTTCGGAAGACCGCTCGCTGAGTCAGCGGATTTTTGAGAGACTGCCTGTTGAATTTTTTTCGCTCTTATCTTTTGCAGATATATTGCTGAATCTCTGAGGAATCGAATTCAGCAAGCGGTCTTTCGAAAAGTCCTGATTGCTTTGCAGAAAATCCGCGAGCGGGGTGCGAGAGATCAGCAAACTATTTTTCCGGTGCCCGCCTGCCCCCGGCGATTGTCTGAGATAGAGCGAATCACCAATCGCTCTTCATCATTGTAGGAATGCGTAGGAACTTTTGGCATATAGCGTCACTCTGGAGAAGCTGTCGTACTTCCATAATACCCGCTTACCTGTTACAAATGATAATTTAGCTGTTGAGTCTCTTGTAAGAAGTTGCATTTCGCAAAAAAAAAACAATAAACACGCAATTTTCATATGGACGCACAGTATCCAGTATTCATCGTCACTGATGCAACTATATTTCGTATTAAAACTCGGTCTTCAGGTGATCTAAATTGAGGGCATAATTTTTGGTTCGTAAGGTAGAGTCACAAGGGCCCACTCCGCAATGCTATCTATTATATGCAATGCGAGCTGACAGGTGTCACGTCAGATGCCGCGCTTATCTCACCTGATATTCATATATTATAACTTGATTTGACTAAAACAGTATGCCAAGCGATAAAACTCAGAGAAAGATCTTGTAAGTTGCTTGTGAGTAACTTACGGGACACGTAATGTAGCATAACCACGTACGACAGTGAAACCATATAATTTCGGCAAACGGATAGAAAGAATTGATAAACAGCTGACTGCAGCCATGGGAAAAGGAACAACTATTCACCTTTTTTTTGCAGATGACTCTTTAACCTTTTAAGAAACTGTGCTGTGTAAGTTTAGTTTCATAGTTTCCGCGTTGACCTATTGAATGTTACTTTGCCTTATCTCTCGGTTTGACTGAGGCGCCATAGGTATCTCTGATAACAGTGGTCATCGATATCTCGAGAGTGACCGCCATCGACGATCGCTAAACGATGAAGCAGCATTGATGCCATTAACCGATTCTAAACTTCGGACCTACTGGATCAAACCTGTAGAAATAATAGTAATGCTCTTTCTTAAATGGGTCTGTCTACTAAGGGTCTGCATCCAAAGTAGCAGCGTTGATGATGCTGAATTGAGGCATGTAGTTTCCTTGACCCTCCTCAGATCCCTGAACTGACCGAGTTTTATTTTACTACACGCCAGTAGTCCACAGACTTAGCTAAGCGATAGCATAACAACAGAAGACGCTGGAAGTATCTTTAGGCCCATGCCCAGTTGGACAGTTTTTCAATACGAGAACTGAAGAATGCGAATTTTGTGCACGAGGTTACTATCAAAGCGAAGCCGGCAGTACTACCTGTGCGAAATGCCCAAACGAACTGATTACGCCAATGACGGGTGCCGCCGAGGAAAGTGAATGCATCCGTAAGCATTTTGCTCTCAAATTACGACATTTCGAGCAGAAACTTATAAGGGAAGGTACCTAATCTGAAATCAGCGTTCCATGCTGTACAAAACGGTATACAGTTCATATGGAAACTCCACTTCGATCAAGTGCCCTTTCCTCGAGATTGCCGCTATCAAATCTGCGAAGCGATAGATTAGCGTTCAATCCAGGAATAAGTAGCACTTCAATACTCATCCTGATGTGTACATACTCTTTTCATTTCTAGATGCTCACTTGCTGAAAGCTCCTGCTTGACGAAGTCGCAGAAGCAGTATTGGTTGAGCGGGCGCGAACTCAGCGCGCGCGTATCCTTACCTTTGTATCTGCGCCTCATGCGCTCTGCGGCTAATAAAGCCGCGTTCGCGCCTAAAGATATTGCGCCTTCCTCTTGCAGCAACCTGAATATGATTAGTGCATAATTAGTCTTAGCACTTACATAGATTGTGCTTTAGCGGCGTGTCCTCCTGGATTCTTCTTCGACAATGCTTCCAAAATATGTGAACCTTGCGGATTGAGAGGCTATCAACCGACAAGCGGATCTGACAGGTAACAGTAGTTTAAGTTGATATCAGAATGACAAAAGCAATCTTTTGAAGTCTTTTTGCTTTCCATCAGACAGCCATCAAAAAAGATGTTCAAGAAAATGACATACAAATTTACAAAGGCAGGTCTTCGGTAGAAGTGCATAGCTCACATTTTCGTATAAATTATGTTTGTTTTTTCAAGAAACGCCCTTCAGACCACTCGTTTTATAGGCACTTTTGATGAAAGTCTTTGCAACGCGTTTACTACTTTGTCAAAAAGTGAACAGTACTTGAAATTAATTCCTTCAGATGCATTCTCTGTCCCCCAACGACGGTCCCACTATATCTAAATTCAACGAGAATTGAGCACTGTCTAGGTATTACATTTGTTTCTTCTTTATCTCAGAAATCCCTGTCACAATTAAGAAAACTGCTCTCCTGGCTGGCAACGCTCACTGGACGGAAGCCACTGCGAACCATGCCCGCTAGGCTCATTTAAGTCATCCGTGGACGCAGTTTGTTTGCTGTGCCCGACAGGATGGACGACACTGAATAAGGGGGCCAGACACAAGGACGAATGCAGCATGAGTTGGTGCCCATCGAGTGTTGTCCTCAAATTGACTTTGCTCTCGCAGGCGTCTGCTATCCTGGAACTTTTCTAAACATTAGCAGTGGCAGCTGTACACCATGTGACTACGGTTTGTATATGGATGAGTATGATGGCAGAATCTGTAAACCATGTCCCATTAGCACAACAACTTATCAGACAGGTAATCTCACAACGAATCCAACAAGAAAATGATGAGGAAGTGAATACAAAATCGTACTTACCATGTATAGTTTAGTGGTGGATTTCAGAATTAGGTCTAGATATCTTCTACTGAGATCGCATTAGAAATTGAGCAAAGTGTATCGTTAGTGTAGCGTGTTTATAGTGTATCGTTCGTAATTTGATGTGCGCCTGCAGACTGCGCACTACATCACACGCCTCATATTCCTTGTAAGTCGCTATTTTCTGGTATTTCCCAATCTTTTTCCAAGGTTTAGTGCATGAGTAGTTCAAACAAACACAAAAGTACATCTCTTTTCGGTTGCTGCACCAAAGCCTTTGCACTATCTTATTCAGATCGTAGAGCCTTGAGGTTCCGCGTGTTGTACGCAAAATCTCATATCAAGTCACGAGTGACTTGAGAAAGCTAGATTTTTCGCTTAATACCGTGTGCTTGCGTGCCGTGAAGCTGCGGTAAATTTGCGCATGAAAATATTCACCCTAAATGCAGGCATCTTGCGTGAGCGGCACTACAGGAGCAGTTCTCGTTCATTTTTGAGCAATTGTAAGAAAGTGCTGGCTTTGCGTAAAGAATGATATCTACTAGTATGCAGCAAAATTCTTGAAAACGTCCTCAATGGTAGGTTCAAGTTCGATCACCCAATGTTTATCAACGAATCAGTGCAAATCTGGTGCTCATAAATGTCACTGGCTAGCTGCATGCATGGATCTGCCAGACAGTGACCATAAGCCAAGGTAATTGCTTACATTCGCTATAGTGAATGGAGACGCAACCATCACCCCATCTTTTCAAGGTATTCGTGCAAATGTAAACCTGGCTATGTTGGTAACGGTCATTACTGTACAGGTAGAGCTTTCATTCGCCATCTGAACAAAGTATTGGAATAGTACAATAGTACAAACAGGTTTGTCAATTTTAGATGCCTGTGAGGGCCTCTGCCATAATGGAGCGACGTGCTTGAAAACGGGTCGAGGAGAGACCAGGTGCATTTGCGATCGTCATCATACTGGTAGAAGATGCGAAACTCGGCTGTAATGGATGTTTACATTCACGACTAAGATTTACGAACGCTTTGTGTGTTAACTGCGGGATGACTATCGGTTGTTTTGATCATACTTTGCTCAAAAGCTTATCTGGAAACCAGAAAAATCCTCACGTGAAGTTGCTTTCAAATGTTAATTTATAATTCATTAAATATAAATATGGCATTGTTATTTGGTCTCCACTGCATTGAATGCAAAGCTGAGCGCTTTCATGATCTGAGCTTTTTGATAAAGACACAGCGCATTACAGTATGCAGAACCTTCATTCGTACACTCTGACTGCGCCGATTATTCAGCTCAAGGATGTGATTTAGCCGAAAAAATTGCCAGGAAAAAGGTTCCAAGGCCTGGCATGAGGTGGCAGATATCAAGCTAGAAATCGTTTTAGGAACAAAAAGCAAAGGGACGTGTACATAACTAAACGTGAGAAAAAATATAACGACGTTTAAGAAGGTACAAGAGACATTTACTCGTATTGTCTTTCTGAGGTGTTGCAGAACATTTGTTTTCATTGATATACCTAACTATAAAACTCGGCTCGAATCTTTGGCAATGAAGAGCTTGGAATTGGGGCATGTTTAACATGGTCTTAGTGTTGCTTTCCTCATCCTCGTAAAGAATTTGACTTAATGCCAGTAAATACTGAGTCTTTAAACCTAGTAATAGGATGAGCGGATTTAAGTTCAGTGTCATTGTATTAAAAAAAACGTTTTTCTGTCGACATTTGATAGTCTGTTTTGCAAAACACTTAGGTTCGTAACAATGCCTAACCTGCTATCTCTCCTGCAAACTCTACAGCTTTGAGGCGTGAGCTTACTGGAATCGATTTATCACAAGCTAAGGATTCTCATTACTACGAAAACTATCGTCGTCTTCCTTTTTTCCCAAAAAATCTTTTCCAATGTCATATCAATGCCAGCCGGCCAATTAAATTTTTATCCAAATCTTGTACATATGGAGGAACTTTCTTTATGCATTTGATTTAGAAGTTCTGCTGATTTAGAAAATTCTAGTTTCTTTCCGCTGCAGCTCTACGTATCGACACCATATCAAAAATGATCCATAATCTCTCTTAAAATTTCTTTCTTACTTTGCAGCTCGACAAGGGTGATTCATCTGTAATCATAAGCTCTCTACTGATCAATACAACTTTATATATATATATATATCAATTATCTATCTTTGTTTGTCCTGCCTGACATACTTCGTCTCTTGTGGACATAGTCTACAATTCTGTATTGTTGTTTTTGAGCGAGCTCGACGGTCAGAGATTAGGGCCGGTAGTAATCTACCCTACTTGGCGGCATCAAAGATGCCGCCAAGTTGGCACACATCACGGAAAGTTGCCATCTTCGGCGGCAGCTCGCGGAGCGATTCTAGGTTTTAATGATCTTACTTAACCTTAGTAGGCAATATTTCGCACATTAAATTTCGATGATGCACACAGCCGCAAAACTGCTACCCCGCGCGAGGTCGAACCTACTCAGATAATCGCCGGGGGCAGGCGGTCCGCAAACTCGCGCTTTTCTGCAGGCGGTCAGCAGAATTTTAGGGCGTGGCCAAACCTTCAGCGGGCGGTAATTCCGCGTTCTGCCAGCGGGCAGCAATACAGAATTTTCTGCGAGCGCTCCTCAAATAATATCTTCCAGCGAGCGCTGGCCAAACTTTCAGCAAGCGCTCGGACTCTTTTTAGGTGTTTTCGAGCGTACGTCGAGCGCAGCGGAAAGTCCGCGAGAATGCGGCCACTGCGCCGCAGCTAATCCATAAAGAAACCGCAAGCATTCGTCTTTAATTTTGCCAACTTTCTTCCAAATTTCTGCAAGCAAGCCGCAAAAAATCAACGAACTATTTTTCCGGTGCGCGCTTGCTCAAAATTCGCATGGCCGCCTGCCCCCGACGGTTATCTGAGTGATTGATTTGAGCGAGAGAGGGGCGAAATCGGTGCAAACGAGATTTAGAAGGGATTTCCAAAAAAGATGGTATTCTTTATGGTTCTCAAGCATTACTAGATTTTTTCTCTGTAAGAAAATCGTCGTTCCGAAAAAGAAAAACTCGTATAATGAGAAAAATGATAATTTCTTGATGGAAAGTAGAATTTTTTGATTTTTCGCCCGACGTAAATTGTGTGATATTGCCGCACTACCCAAACTTGCAGACGCCGCCAGCAAGGTGCCACCACCTTGACATGGTAGGGGCATGTTAGGATGGTGGCACCTTGATCTCTCAAAAGAGCACGCTATTTTCCGTGCTCTCTGACCTAGCGGCATCTCTCAGCGCTGAAATTTCGACGAGATGCCGCCAGGTCAGCTCGAGTTGCCGCCAGCACTTCCTACCTTCCTCTACAAATCTGTTTAGGGAGGTTTTTAGCATCTTCAGTTGCCAGGTAAGGATCCCTAAGCAAATTGTGACCTCCTCGACCAGAAATACGTATTCAAAAGCGTTTGGAGAGCACAAATTGAGGTCGGTGTTCGCGCCGACTTTACGTATAGATGCCGCCGACTTGAGCGAAACATGCCGCCAGGTCAGGGGGATTACTACCGGCCTAGAAGTTTATCCTCTTCTATCTCCATATTGTATTTGTTTTTGTATAATGGACCATCGCCACTCAACGATGTATCAATAAGATAAATAAACAAATGATGGCGAGGAAGAACATCCGTCAAGATTTGACCATCAATCAAGCTTGCGTCTTATAAGTGCTTGTTTTTTCTAGATTGACTTCCACCAAGGCTCTTTTGACTAGCTGAAAAGATAAGGAAACAATATTTTACGGATTGTCATGTAAAAAAGATGTTATCTGCATCTCCTCCCCTTGACTAAATAATTTAATCAATTAAACCCAGCGTTTTTTTTGTCATTTTACTTGAATGCGGAAGATCAAGCATTAAAGGCACCGTCCACCCTAAATTGAGGGTGTTGAGCTTTTGACAACACATAATAGTGGGGCCTCTTATTAAGCCAATGCCCAAGTCGCGGCGCAAAATGCCGCTTCGAAAGCGGTAAAATTGCTTCGGAATAGCGAAGATGCACGAGGACCCTCATCCATGCCCGCTCCTTCCCATCCATGCCGGACCATTTGTGCGCGCTCATCCAATCACCGTTCTGGAAAGCCGGCGTGTGGGTTCTCCGGAATGGGGATTTTCGGGGTTTTCGCGGATTCTCGACTTCATAGTCGGTATCAAAGTCATGAGAAGGCCTTGAAGCGGCAAAAAGCTGGAAGTCGAGAATCTGGGTGGACGGTGCCTTTAAGTAGATCGAGATTACCAAGGACAAAAAACAAGAACAACTGGATTGACTTCAGAATTAAGCTCTATAGGACTTAATAGCATGTAGGAAGGAGCTTCTTCCCCGTCGTTCTCCGTTCAAACGCTACGGCATAACTCGCGCACCACGACTCCTAAGATTGAAGAGCAAGCAGTGGAATACCACGCGCTGAAGTTACCCCCTCTTCCCCTCCCCCCTCTGCGCTTTAAGGAAGGGAATGCGTTGAGACAGAAATGTCAAGAAATAAATGAACATCAGATATAACTGTTGCCCCTCCCCCTCCCCTTTCCCGCTGATTATTTTTTAATCCAGTGCATAGGATATCAAATTGTTAACAAATAAGTTTTTTGTCCAAGCAATAGATTTAGAATGGGTTTGATCTCGAAAGTTCTGTTTTACTGATTTCACCTTGACGACAGTGCTGCGCAGTGGGCCGCGGCGGCCTTTTTATCCCTGTCTGTCCATTCCTCTCAGTCTGTGTTCATATTATCAAGACAGGCTCAGAGTACTTTACGTAATAAAAAGAAAGAAGAAGGCCGTAGAAGAGGCGACAGATGCGCAAAAACCTAAAGCAAAATTTAAGCCAAGCCTCGCCTCCGTCAGAAGAACTTCGAAGAACTCAGTAAGCCGCCCGAATTTCAAAACTGGCGGAATTCGCAATAATCTTCAAATATGGGTTTTTTCCGATTTTTATGGCTGAGTGGCCGGGACTTGCCACAAGGGACAAAGCTTGTACAATATGTTTCCCGCATAGGTGCATGCATACAACCGCATCTGCCGCAAAAACCGCATCTGCCGCAAAAATGCACGAAAATGTCTCGTCCACAGGGACAGGCTTGAAAAACGTTCGTCGTCAACGTGTCAAAAGGTTTTTGATAAAAGTTTCTTCCACTTTCCTTATCAAGAGCTTTGTTGATTGTTGCACGAGTCCAAGGTTCATTTCCGAACTTGGAGAGGTAACGGTAAAAATTTCATGTCGAAGAGGAATCGGTCTGCGAAACGTTGCTTACCACCATCGTGCCTTCCCTAAAAGGTTTTTGGATTTGATAACTTCCATAGCCACTGTGGGTGGCAGTGAGGCTTAGATGTTCTCCGAGCTCATCGTGAGTACTATATCCAGATAAAGCTTCAGAAAGTGTTCAACTCAATGTTAGCCTGACTGATTCAAATGATTATAATCATATTCGCTCTGGGGTCAGGTCCTTTGTGGCCTGCTAGAATATTTGCGCATCTCTAAGGAGTTGTATGAGACAAATGGTTGCATGCGAGGATTGTCGCCGTTCAACAGCAAAAGACTTTCTCAGATCTTTGTTTTAAGAGAAAATACGCCTGACGGTTCTATCTGGTTACCATGAGAACTTAGCACGAGGAGGTGCCATCACATTGAAATAAGGTCACCGTTGAAAGTCGCTACGATTGTTCTATGGTTGCTCATAGAGAAAAACAAAAATACCAGAGTACAGGACATTGACACAACACAAAACATACATCAAATGGAAATAATGACGTCTATATTGATCTTTACATTGTTTACTGCAGGGCCCGTATGAAACCCCCGAGATACAGTGACCGCCAAGTTGCCCTCCTTTTTTCAGCGTTCATTTTCGGATGGAAAACAGGATGAAAAAACGATTGGATTGGAGGAGGGGATGGAGCTCTTTAAAAGCTACAACCCGCACATTGCGCTTTCTGGAAAACATGATTTCTAAAAATTTTAAAAATCTTTTT